TAAGCCCCAGGCCAGTGAGTGACTCTGTCTCAGACAAAACAACAACACAACAAAAAATTAAGATGGATGACACCCGAGGAAGAACCCATTTTGGAGATTGCCCTTTGGCTTCCACACACATGTGCACACATATGCATGCATACACATACATGCACACATGAACACATACATACACTGTAAATAAATAAATGTAATAAAAAGCAGAAATGCCGCTACATAGTGTTGAGCCTCACGTAGCTCTCTGGTGAAGAAAGGGACAACTTTGCAGTGGTATTCCTCATGGTGCTTTGTCTCAGGTCCCAGCCGCTGGTGCCGTCTAGGTTCACCATTTTTATTACCATTTATTTGAGTCATCTCTTTGCCTGTGCCTTTCAACCCTTCCTGTCCCTATAGTTTAACTGTGCCTTGTGTAAACAGCTCGTGGTTGGAGTTTTAGCTTGGCGGCACACCGTCTTTTCAGCACTCCATTCGCTCTGTTAATGTTTAGAGTGATAGTTACAGAGGGATTTGCATTTATTCCAACTGTCTCATGAGAATTTGTTTGCTCTGCTTCTACCTTCCATCCCAGTTGTTTGGAATAAAGTGCCACATTCTTAGTTTCTTTGTTCCCTTCTCACATTCTGCCCCCCACCCCACACTTACAGACATGTTTCTCTATCTAGTGGTTTAGAGATCACTTCAACTGTTTTATTGTGAACAGCTGTACTAGGCACAAAGAGTAGACAAACAGGGGTTAAAAGTCCCAGGACCACATGCCTACAGTCTCAGCACTCAGGAGATGGAGGCAGGAGAATCAGAACTTCCTGGTCATCTTTGGCTACATAGTGAATTTGAGGTCCACTGGGCTATGAGACCCTGTCTTAAACAAGTTACCCCGGATACCTCAGTGACTTGAGGTGTCAAAGATTTCTTTCACCTCGAATTTCATAGTCACTGGGAGATGGCAACTGTAAGCAGATGGAAGATCATGTCATCTCCAAGCTGCACCATCTGAAACAGGTGGCTTCCAAGGTCACCACAGAGGGGAAGAGAAGGGCCAGCATCTTCAGTTGGGTTTTCCAGAAACAAACTTTGAGATAGAAATTGTTGTGCAGAAGGATTGTGACTTTGAGAATAGATTGTCTCGAATGAGTGAGAGTTGTGGGAAGTAAGGGGGAGAGAGAACACTTTGCAGAGCCATACTTGGGTGACTGCTCCCTGGCCTGCTTTGAGGAGCCACAGTTCCTACCCAGCCTTCTCCTACCCAGCAGCTGCTACTACTTCCCCTGGCTGGGCCAAATCTGAGGTCTCTCTGAGGACTTTGCTTCTGGATGCAACATAGATGTTGCATTAAAGGACTACCCTTTGCCAGCCTCATGCATGGGTGTGGTGAGGGGGTCCTGATTTCTACAGGAGGGTTGGAGGAGAGCCTTAAAGAGAAGGGGCCTCTAAAAAGTATCCTGAACTCCCACATTGCAGAGGCTGGTCCCCTGCAGACCCTGGAACTCAGGCATGGAATGAAAGCACGTACCTGTGGCACCTGGTCTATGCGGAACAGCATGGGGAGCTTCTGGCTCAGCATCTTGACACCTGGGTAGGCAAGGTGGCCTCCCAGCAGGTCCCACTCAGAGTTGTGGCATACCAGAGATAGCTGGGTGACTTCCCTGAAAAAGGGCAGCAAGATGAAATCAGATGAGACTCCACTTAACTCCAAATGGATCAGGTACCTGGTGGTTAAACTATTGGACATTTGCTTTAGAATGATAGCAAAAAAAAAAAAAAAAGCCAAGATTCCCATGGCTAGGGAATGTAGCTCCGTTTGTAGAGTGCTTGCCTGGCACACATGAGGCCCTGGGTCCAACCCACAGCACTGTATAAGACAGGCATGCTGGTATATGCCATCAATTCTGGCCTTGAGGAGGTGGAGGCAGGGTGATCAGGAGGTCAAGGTCCTCCTTATCTCCTGACTAACCCGGGCTTCTTGAGACCCTGTCACAAAACAAAAACAACATTTCTTTAAAGTAGCAATTCAGACTACTTCATCCCTCACTCTGAGAATGCTAACAGGTAAGCAATTAGATCCTTCAATGACTGACTGTTGTGGAATGTTATTTTAAGATGTGTTACATTTGTTTATGCTGTGGAACATTTGTCTTAATGATGCAAAGATGTGTTGCATTCTTTTATATTGCAATTGTTTAACTCTGTGAAGCTGTGTTACTTTGCCTGTCTAAAACACCTGATTGGTTTAATAAAGAGCTGAATGGACAGTAGCTGGGCAGGAGAGAGAAATAGGCAGGGCTGCCAGGCAGAGAGGATAAATAGGAGGAAGACGAGGATTGAGGCGCAAGAAAAGAAGGACTTCAGGGGCCAGGCACCCAGCTACACAGCAAGATGTGGAGTAAGAAGCAAAGAAAGATATACAGAAATAAAGAAAGGTAAAATCCCAGAGGCAAAAGACAGATGGGATAATTTAAGCTAAGGAAATCTGCCTAGAAACAAGTCAAGCTAAGGCCAGGCATTCATAAGTAATAATAAGCCTCCATGTGTATTTATTTGGAAGCTGGGTGGTGGGTCCCCCAAAAGAGCAAAGAATCAAAAAAAAAAAAAAACCAACAACAACAAAAAAACTATAACTGATTACTTTAAAATCTGAATGCTAGAATTTAACCCCTGTGTGATATGAAGTAAGGCCTTTGGAAGATAATGAGGTCATGAGGGTCCCACTCTTTTGAATGGAATTAGTACTTTTATCATGAGACCCAAGGGAGCTTTCATGACATGGGGCCCTGAGAGGACACAAGGAGAAGGAGCCATTCATGAAGAAGAAAGAGTCTTAGTATGCTGCCATCCTGAAGCAGTAAATTTCCATTGTTTATAAACTGCCTAATCAAAGGTATTTTTCTATAGAAGAATGAACTGAGACTGTGGTAGAAAACCATGAGGCTGTAGAGGACCTGAGGGGCGAGCAGTAGAATGCTTTTCCCAGAGTTGCTGAGCTAGGAAGAGCTGAGGCCACTCAATCTGTGCTCCACCATAGGCTTCCCTAGGTAGGCAAGGCAATCTCAAGCTTGTGCCACACAAGGTGACATGAGGAGACAATGGGGGAGTGAGACGGTTCAGTGGGTAAATCTGTTTGACTCCAAACCTGAAGACCCATGCTCCATCCCCAGGACCCCCATGGAAGGAAACAAAACAACTCCTGTAGGTTGTCCTTTACTATTGTACTGTGCCATTCATGCACGTACACACACATACACAATAAATAAACTACATCAATTTTAATAAAAATTTAAAAGAGGACAAAGAACTACGCTCTAACTCAGAGTTGGCTCTTCCAGAGCGCTGACCACAGCTCTGTCACATGAAAGAACCAGGCCAGGCAAAAATCCAAGGAGCTTCTTGGAGACAGAGCAGCTTGGAGTAAACAATAAAGTTGATCAAACACAGGATTAAGACTGTTTAGTAACTTGTAAATAATATGTTACAGAAATCTAAAGTTCTCACACAGGCCCACAAAACAAAAAAAAAAAATGCTGCTTTAGCACAGAGAGGACAAAGCTAGGGACTGATCACAGTGTGGATCTTCTCTCTGCCATCATCCCTGGACCTCCTTAGAGCCCCCTTCGTGTTCCCATCAATGGAGGGGAGTCCTTCCCTGCCTCTGAGGGCCCAGGGACCTTGCCTAACCTCCCTGGATCACCGGCCACATTCCTCCTGGGACCTCTGTGGCTGTCTGGACAGGCTCACATCATGCACATACACACAGTGAAATAAATAAAAGGAAGGCAATTAGGGAAGACATGTAGCAACCTCTGGCCTCCACATCCACACACATGAACACATACACCACCCACAAATAACAGAATTGACTTTAATTAAAGAGAATTACACCCTGGCACAAAGCACCAAGACTGAGTTTTTGCCGAGCACTGGGAGATGATGGGAAACAGGATGTTTGTGCTGTGTGTAGCCTGGGCAGCAAGTAGTGAGCCACTCCTGCCAACTCAGCAAGCTGAGGCAAATTCGCAGATAAGACAGAACTTGACTGACCTGTTTCAAAAGTGCAAGGCTTCTGCTGTTATAGTCTTACAGCATTCAAAGTGATGGTACTGTCAGACAACATCTAACATGCCCATCTTTGTTTGTCAACAATTGCAGAAGACCAGTGGCGGATAGTGGGGAGTCATGGCACACTGCCAATCTTAAGCCTATCAGACATTACTGAGCCTAGAATGAACTCCTTGATCCTTTTAGTTCTATCTGTTGGGAAACAAGCTCTTCGTTCCACAGACACTAGAAAAACCAGATTGCAATTTGCAGGATCACCAACATTGCAGCTTGGGTTGCTGTGTCTTTGTCTCAGGGTCTAGAGACAAGCTTGAACTGAACCAAAGGGCTTCTGTTCTACTTTTAATTCTGTTGCTGTAAGTCACTCTGATTAAAAAGGAAGGAAGGAAGGAAGGAAGGAAGGAAGGAAGGAAGGAAGGAAGGAAGGAAGCAACTTAGGAGACAAAGGATTTATTTTAGCTAAAATTTCCAGGCTATAGTCTATCACTTCCAGGAAGCCACAGTGGCAGGAGCTTGAGAGAGCTGGCCACATGACATCAACAGTCAATAGTAGAAGTGAATACAAGCTCACTGGATTGTGGTCAGCTCACTTTCTTCATTCTTGTGCAATTCAGGATTCCCTGCCTAGGGAATGATGTCACCCACAGTGGCTTAATTTTCTTACATCAATTAATTTAAGATAATCTTGCACAAACATCCCAAAGGCCAACCCAATGTTGACAGTTTTGTCAAGTTGACAATTAAGTTAACCATCACAATTTCTAAGATGAAATCCAAACACATCAGAATGACACAGCTTATAAGTGCTGTATACAAGACTTCATCTTACAGAAGCTTCTATGGCTTTAATAACAAAGGACCAGAGATGTTTCTCAGTTGGGAGTGTCCTTGCCTAGCATGCTTAAAGATCTGGGTTTAAACCTGAGCACAATAGAACCAAGTATAATGGTGCACACTTGTAACCCCAGCACTTGTGAGGTATAGGTAGGAAGATAGTTAAAGGTCAGCTCTGAGGCAGAGGCAGGTTAATCTCAGAGTTCCAGGCCAGCCTGGTCTACAAAGTGAGCTCCAGGACAGTCGGAGATATACAGAGAAACCCTGTCTCGAAAACAAAACAATCAAAAAATTTCAAGGTCATCCTTGGCTACACAGAGAATTCCAGGGCAGCCTGGGACACAAGACGCAGCACTTCAAAAAAGGAAGTGTGGTATTGTAATATATCCATAAGGACTTGCTGGAGTTACTCTGAAATAGTCTTAAAAAACCATGAGAATAAAACCATGATCAGGAGGTTTCATGTTAGGACTCAACCTCAAGGGCATCCAAAAATCAATAAGAGGTAGAATCTGAACTTGGGTACCTCATTCATCTCATGATGGGGTTCCATTTTTGTGGGTTCCCTCCCCTAAAAGACAACAACCTCACCTAGGATACCCCATGCCTTAAAGGCTCTAGGTTTATATTAACTTGACACAAGCTAGAGCTACTCTGGAAGATGGAACTGCAATGGAGAAAATGCCCCCACCAGACTGGCCTGTGGGCAAACCTGTGGTACATTTTTTTTTTAAACAGATGATCAATGTGGGCAGTGCCATGGCTGGGCATGTGGTCTGGGAACCACAAGAAAGCAGGCTGAGCAAGCCATGGGGAGCAGGCCAGTAAGCAGCACCCTGCATGGCCTCTGCTTCAGCTTCCGCTCCAGGTTCCTACCCTGCTTGAGTTCCTGTCCAGACTTTACATGATGATGGACTATAAGCCACTGCAATATAAACTTAACCCTTTCCTCTCTTTTTTGATTTTGGTAATGGTGCTTTATCACAACAACAACAACAACAAAAACCCTAAAGTACCTAACAAATATTGTCATATAAAGTGGCCTGAAATAATCTGGCGTGTTGTTTCCCCAATGACAGGGTCCAAAAATTTAATAACTTAGAGTAATATAAATGAACCAACAATTAGTCACATTATAAGCATGAGTTTATTAACTTAGTCTAATATACATATAGGATCCCAAGTGTGTTTCATACAGTACTTAAAAAATTTCAACATTAATTAAATGTATTGAAGTCTTCATCGTGTCATCACAGACAATATCTTTTTTGAGTTGCCTCATACAATTTGGCTAAAAAATACTGTCTAATCATTTGTCCATTATACAGAGGCTCAGAAAACAGCATCCCAAAACATAATTCCTCATCAAGTTGAGCACTTAAACTGTGGGAGACTAGAATGCCTCAGAAACAAGGGCTCTCCGACCTTCTCCTGCCCCGTCCTCTGTCACCTCCCTCTCCTAAAGCAAGCTGTAACACCCAGAGAGTTCATGATCTCAGGTTCCTTTGCAGATCCTGATTCCAGGGGGTCTGGCCCACATGCAAAAGGAGAGTATGCTGCACAGAGAGGCAAAACAGACTCTGAGCAGACAGGCCTGGCTGGGGTCCCACTGACAGTCCTATGTACTAGGCCACACTCTGTGTAATCATACATTTCAAATGGCTGCCCACTCTTTGTAGAACTTGAGCTTGAATACAGTTCTCACTGGGTCTTTGGGCCCGTATCTCGTGCCATAGGAAGAGTGTGTGTGTGTGTGTGT